GAGGCCGAGGAGGAGGAACGGGAAGGCAGGAGGGAGGAACGGAGGAGGAGGAGGAGGACGAGGAGGAGGAGGGACGAGGAGGAGGAACGGCAGCGGAGGAGGAACGGGAGGAGGAGGGGAGGAGGAGGAGGAGGAGGAGGAGGGGAGGAGGGGAGGAGGAGGAGGAGGAAGGAGGAGGAGGAGGAGGGGAGGATGGAGGAGGAGGAGGAAGGAGGAGGAAGGGAGGAGGAGGAGAGGAGGAGGAGGAGGCAGGAGGAGGAGGAGGAGGAGGAGGAGGAGGGGAGGAGAGCGAGGAAGGGAGGAGGAGGAGGAGGAGGAGGAGGAGGAGGAGGAGGAGGGGAGAGGAGGAGGAGGAGGAGGAGGAGGAGGAGGAGGAGGAGGAGGCGGAGGAGGAGGAGGAGGAGTGAGGAGGAGGAGGAGGAGGAGGAGGGAGGAGGAGGAGGAGGCAGGAGGAGGAGGAGGAGGAGGAGGAGGAGGAGAGGCGGAGGGGAGGAGGAGTAGGAGGAGGAGGAGGAGGAGAGGAGGAGGAGGAGGAGGAGGAGTGAGGAGGAGGAGGAGGAGTGGGAGAGGAGGAGGAGGAGAGGAGGGGAGAGGAGGAGGAGGAGGGGAGGAGGAGGAGGAGGAGGAGGAGGGAGAGGAGGAGGAGGAGGAGGAGGAGGAGGAGGAGGAGGAGGAGGAGGAGGAGGAGGAGGAGGAGGAGGAGAGGAGGAGGAGGAGGAGGAGGAGGAGGAGGAAGGAGGAGGAGGAGGAGGAGGATGAGGAGGAGGAGGAGGAGGAGGAGGAGGAGGAGGAGGAGGAGGAGGAGGAGGAGGAGGAGGAGGAGGAGGAGGAGGAGGAGGAGGAGGGGGGGAGGAGGGGGAGGAGGAGGAGGAGGAGGAGGAGGAGGGGGAGAAGGCCCCGAGAGAGAGAGAGAGAGAGAGAGATCCGTAGCCTGGCTCAAGCCATCTCCCCCCATCTCAGTGGGGGGGTCAGTGCTCGAGGGGGCGCAACGCCAGGTTGTTTTCGATCGACCCGCCCTCTGACAGGTCCCCGAACCGTCGGAGGCTGTGTATCCAGAACCCGTCCCCCAGTGCAGTTGCGATGGGAGGCAGAGGCGGCTGCAAGGGCAAGCCCACCAAGGGCGCAAAGGCGGGAGGGAAGGGCAAGAGTTTTTGCTGTCCAAGCCCCAGCCAGACTTACAGCAGGCGCCGACACCCTATTCATGGTCATGTTCGTTCTGCGGGGTGAGTGTGAATCTACGTCATTTGTGGTGTTCGCAGTGCGGATCGCGCTGGCAAGATGAAGAAGCAGCCTGTTCCAGCGGCCAGTGTCCATCCCGCAAGAAGAAGGGCTCGGACGGGCAGAACGCAGGGAGTTCGTCTACACCACAGACGCAGCACATCCAGAAGTTGCAGGGATCCCTTGACATGCTGAGGCACCTTGAGTCCAAGGCAGAAGGGGACGAGGCCCTGCGCATCATGAAGAAGCTGTTCGCTCGTTAGGATCGGTCCTCAATCATATGCGTATCAATCGTGGTAGCGAGGAGTCAGAGTCCCAGCTGCAGCAACAGGTGCTCGGACGCCAAATCAGAACACAGAAGCACTTGGAAGCTCAGGCAAGATACATTCGCCAGCAGGAACAGCAGCTGGAGGACCTGAGCGTCAAGAAAGCATGGGTGGAAGCAGACCTTGAAGCAGTTCGAAACACATACTCCGATTGAGAGGCGAAGTTGGCAGCCATGAAAATGCCAGCACCACTGGCAAACCCTGATCTGGTCATGCCACCTGGTCTCCATGGTCCACCAGACTGGACTGCTGGAGGCAGGGGCTCTGCGGCGGAGGCCCTGGGCCACTTCGGCAAAGGCGGCAACTACATGGACGCGCAGAGTTTCCTGAACAGCATGCACTTCATCGGCGCGAATCTGGACCCTCAGCTAGTCCAGCACCTTGGGGGCCCAACGCCGAAGCTCGCGGCCAACCTCCTGGCCTACGGCCAGGCAGCAGCAGCTGAGAGCTCGGCAGCGGCAGGGGGAGCGAGCATCATGGCGGCCCAGACTGAGGCCACGGCTTCGCAGGAGGCCGCGAGGCCGAACGCCGAGGAAGAGGGCGGGAGGCGTCGCGAGACGCAGCCATGCCAGCAGCGCCGCTCACGGGCAGGCGCGCGGCTGGCGAGGCTGAGGCGTCGGCTGAGAAGAGAGGCCGCCGAGAGGAGGCAGAGGCGAGATCTTCGGCTTCGGAGGTGGCTGAGGTGCCGCATAGTCTTTAGCAGTCAGTGCGCCTACGTGCGCGAGGGGCTGCAGATCCTCACGATCAACGCTAACGTGTGGTCGTCTGCAGCGCCGTAGTCCAAAGGTTGTGAGGCCCAGACTGCACTCGTCCCAGAGCACAAACTATATGATGAGAATTTGTATGAGGAGAAAGAACGTCTACGAAAGTTGGGATGGAAATCGCGGTGGCCCCCCTGTGCGTTGACGGCCAAAGGTGGCAGGTCAGCAGGGGCAGCCAGTCTTGTCAGAGCACATCTTGACGCCGGGCAGGAGCCAGGCCACGAGGATGCGCTCATCCCAAACCGCCTCATGCAAGTTTTTTTTCGCAGTCGCCCACGTGGCATTCTCAGCATATGTTGTGGGTACTGGCGAGACCCAGGGGGCTTGGTCCCCGTCAGTTTACGCATTGCCAGAGAGCTTGGTGCGAATAGTATGAGGAAAAATTGTCAGTGCATAGTTGGGGAGGGTTCAACCTCGCGCCTCACCTTTTCAAGGAAGGACTCGCGCCACACAAGATGAGTGGAGATTTTGTGCTGCCAACACCTACGATCGCTTGCACGGCGTCCGGTCCAGGCACACGCCTCAATTACTTACTTCCAAGAGGGCGCCTTTATGGCCCAAGAGCGCTCCAAGAGAGCCCAAGGCCGCACAAGGGCGTTCCAAAGTTTGTCCAACATGGCCTTGGAGACAGCCCAACAGGGCTTCAAGATGGCCAAGATGCCTTCAAAAAGGGCTCCCACGAGGCACCCCGGAGGCGACGCAAGCAGGTTCCCCCAGTAGTTTTTGAAGGTTGTTCGTGTTCTCGCTGTTTCGTGCTTCCCACGGTCCAAGACAGCCCATGAGGCCCCAGAAACCAGTTCAGGACGGTTCAAGAGGCACCCAAAGAGGGCGCCACGACGGCGCAATAGAGAGCCCCAAGACGGCCAACAGTGTGCCCCAAGGAGGCCCCAGAGGCGCCCAAGGTCGCCCCAAGAGGGCCCCAAGAGGGGCCCAGGAGGGGGAACACGAACAGACAATTCGAACCCTCCGTCCCAGTAGGCCCCCAGCAGGCCCTAAGAGGCCCCCAAGAGAGCCCAAGAGGCCCCCTAGAGGCCCCGTAGAGGCCGCACGAGGCCCCAGAGGAGCCCCACAAGACGCTCCACGCGCATCCGTAGCCATTTTGGCTCAAGGTGGCCCTGACTGCAGCGCGCAACCGCTCATCAGAATTGCCCATCACCCTGCGGGCTCCGTGACCAGGCCCCTGGGGCCCACTTTTCCAAAAACTCTCCCCTCCCCCCGCGGTGCCCAAGATGGCTTCAAGACGGCCAGAGAGGCCCCCCAAGCATTTGAAGAGGGGTCCAAGAGGACACTTATGAGGGTCGCAAGGGACACATCGCCTTAAGTATTCAAGGAAGCGTCTATGCTTGGCACATGCGGCGTATATAGAAATAGCGTCCACGGCGGCCTCAGAAAAAAACCCAAGAGCGCCGCATGCCATCCCAACAAGGCTTCCAAGGCGGCCCACGAAGCTCCCAGGATCGCCCCAAGACGTTCCTCAGAACCCCCCCCAAAGACGACCTCCGTAGGCGCCTGTGGATCCCAGAGCGCTCTGAGACAGTCCTGGAGGCCCACAGAACAACTCACTCCGCACCCCTCCCCGCTACTCCCAGACCGTTCCCATTCCTCCCCCTCCCTCCCCGTTCCAGGCAAGTGTGCGCGAGGCGGTTGCGTCTCTGGCCGCGAAATCCTGCCAGTGCATACCTACATGTACGACCACCTTTTCGGATGATAAGGAGGTTGTGTGTGTGGTGGTGGTGGGGGGGGGAGGAAGGGGGACCAACTGGAGCTACAACATAGCATTGCATCGCACAGCAGCGCATAGCATAGCATCGCACAGCAGAGCATATACGAGCATCGTTTAGCATAGCATAGCATCACAACGCATCGCATACCATGTCATACGCATATCATGTCATGTCATCGCATCGCATCGCGTACAATAGCATTTCAGCACATGGCAACCTATGGCGTAGTACCGCATATCATCGCATTGCATCGCACATCATAGTATCGCATCGCATCAGACCGCATAGCTTAGCATCGCATTGATAACTTAACGTCGCCTTGTACATCATGGCATAGCGCAGCACAGCATAGCGTCGCAGAGCACCAGACGCGACGGGACACCGCGGGACAGCGCGGGACACCCCCAGGCCACCGCCGGCCAACCGGGATGGACACCACGGGACCCCGCGGGACACCCCCGGTCCACTGTTGGCCAACCAGGGGGCACAGCAAAATTTGGCCCGGTTTTGGCGTAAGCACAGATGGTTCTTTCATTTCGCCTTCCGACGCAGTTTCGCCGCGCCCACACGCGCGACACGAACACGAAACCGAAAACGATTTCCTGGCGGGGGTATCCTGTTCACTTCGATATCTTTCCCAACCTCGGATTCTGTCACACCACGGGACGCTGCGGAACGCCCCCGGGCAACCATAGGCCAACTGGGGGGCGCAGCAACATTTTGTTCGGTTTTGCGTAAGCGCGGCGGGTTCGTTCCTTTCGCCCGCCGATGCAGCTTCGCCTCGCCCACACGCACGACACGACACCGAAAACGATTTCTTTGCGGGGGATCTCTTGTTCACCTCGATCTCTTTCCCAGCTTCGGATTCTATCTGCTTGCTGCGGAGACAATCGTTTGTTTCGCTCCGCCTGGCCCCTCCTTCCCCCCCCCTTGGGCTCGAGGACCCAACAGAACCCCAAAATGGTCCTCCGTAGCCATTTTGGCTCAAGGCATCCAGGTTCAGGCAGATTTGGTGCAGGTTCCTCTTTGTCCTTAATCAAATTACATACGCGAAAACATTTGGCTTGCGGGTCGTTTCTTTTCTGTTCCGTGGGATGGCGGTCCAGAAGACACCTTGGATTGTGTGGTCCGCGTTTGCACTCGTCCTCAGCATCAGCGTACCCACTGCGACCTCGATTGGTGTGTGTTCCAAGCCGAAGTGTGCAGATGACGACGCCCAACTCATTGCGCTGGCTAACGGCATCGGCGTCAAGATCGGAGGTTGTGCTGAGGTGCAGGCTTATTGCGAAGATGCGGCGTACGGCAGCACTGTGCAGGCGACCTGCCCTGCAACGTGTGGCCTCTGCAGGGTGGCCAGCCCCAGCAGCTCCCAGGCGGCTAAGGTGCTGATGGACAGGAGCTCCAGGGGCTCCCGGGACGCAGATGATCAACAGTCCTTGGACAGGGCTCTGGCGGCGAAAGGGCCCTACCCGACGCCGAGGCCGACGCCGTGGCCGACGCCGTGGCCGACGCGGTGGCCAACGCCGAGCCCGACCCCGAGCCCGACGCTGACGCCAGCACCGACGCAGGTGCAGGTGGCCGCCGTCGGCGACCCACACCTGCAGAATATGTTCGGTCAGCGGTTCGACTTGGCGAAGCCGGGCAAGTCTATCCTGGTCAGCATTCCACGCGGCAAGCCCGTCGAGGACGCGCTGTTGTACAGGCCGACGCACGTCGACTGGGAGCACGATGCTCGGATATTTATTTCCAGGAGGTCAACGTCACAGGGACGTGGGCAGACAAGGCGCAGCCCGGAGGCTTCCACTTCAACTTTCGCGGCGCGCGCGACAACAAGCCGAAGTGGGTGAACTTCGGGCCGGTGGAGCTCAAAGTCGTCCACTGTCACACTGGCGAGGGGTTGCAGTATTTGAACGTCTACCTTAAGAACCTTCGGCGTGCTGGGTTTCATGTCGGAGGGCTGCTGGGCGAGGATGATTACACGGAGGCTGCGACGCTCGAGGCAGGGTGCCAGAAGATGATGTCCCTATTGGCGGGTCCAGATGGTCAAGCTCCGCATCGACAGGGCTCCACCGCAATCGGTTATTGAGCCCGCCTGCCCTGCCGTGGTGCAGGATTATAAATTATACATCTAACTCGCTTCCATCGTCGTCAACCTCCTCCTACTCCTTCGCCCTCTCGGCGCGCATTTGGCGCGAACATGCCGTTGGGAAACACCTTTGGCGTATACTCGTCTGCTGTTGCACGCGTTTGGCGTGTCGCACGCATTTGGCGTGTCGCCCTTCTTTTCATTGCCTACGCGCATTTGGCGTATGGCTGCTTCGTTCGTTCGTTCGCCGGGCCGAGGAGGGGGGCGAGGAGGGAGGCGGGGAAAATATGTAACCATATCGGGGCGGAGTCGGGACGTCCAGGGATCGTCTAGAGGCCGACATGGCACCAGCCATGGGACAACATTAGAGGGCATTTGTATGACGGTGCTTGCGATAATGCGTCGTCGCTGAGAAGGTCACATTCGTTCCTGCTGGCGTTATTTTAATATCCATCCACCCGTCGCTGCGGGCGTTTGGCCCAAGCACGCAACTTGACTTTGGAGCGCAGTCCGCTTCGCAGGTGAAAAAAAAAACATAACCCCAAAATGGTCCTGGAGGTTCCGGAGTCCGCCCAAGAGGGTCCCAAGAAATCCCAACGGGATTTCAAGAGAGGGCCAAGAGATTCCGCTGGGCCATCTTTGGACGGGTTTGGGGCGTCTTGCGGCCGTTTTGAGGCGGTCTCTGGCTCGGTCCCTCCAGATACCACGGACCCCAAGGGTCTCACATTCTCCACGTCCCACAGTTCTTCAGGCCCCACAGGTCCAGCAGGTCATAGAGGCACCGCAGGTCCTTCTGGGTCCCACAGGCACCTGAGGTCCCACAGGTACCACCGGCATGACAGATTCCGCAGGTCCCATAGGTCTCGCGGGTCTTGCAGGTGCCACAGGTCTCAATTCCCTCCAGGTCACACAGGTCACACAGGTCCCACAGGTCTCACAGGTCTCACAGGTCCCACAGGCCACAGTGGTCCCACAGGCCCCACAGTTTGCACCTGCTCCACAGGTCTCACAGGTCTCGCGTGTCTCACAGCTCCCAGAGGCCACAGAGGTCCCCCAGGTACCACAGGTCTCACATGTCCAACAGGCCAGACAGGTCTCACAGGTCCCACATGTCCTGCATGCCCCACGGGCCCAAAAAGGCCCTACAGGTGCCACACACACACACACACACACACACACCGCACGTCCCATGAGCCCCAAAGGTCCAACAGGCCCCACAGGTCCCAGAAGTTTCACAGGCCTGAGAGGCCTCACATGTCCCACAGGTCACGTAAGTTACACAGGTCCCAAAGGTCCTACAGGTCCTGCAGGTCGTACAGGCCGCACAGGTCTCGCAGGTCCCACAGGTCCCACAGGTTTCACAGGTTCTACAACGTCCACAGGTCCCACAGGTCACACTGCACACAGGTCTGACGGGCCGCACCAGTCCCACAGGTGCAACAGGTCCAAGAGGTCCCACGCGTTCCATAGGTCGCACGGCCTCCACCGGTGCCGCAGGTTCCACAGGTCCCACAGGCCCCGTATGTAGCACGGCTCCCACAGGTCGCACAGGCCCCAGAGGTCTTGCAGGTCTCGCAGGTCCCAACGGAGGAGGAGGAGGAGGAGGAGGAGGAGGAGGAGGAGGAGGAGGAGGAGGAGGAGGAGGAAGGCCGCGCGTGTCCCACAGGTCTTCTGTTGTTATTCTGGTGCTTTGCTGGGGCAGTTTGTGACCTGACGTCAAGACGTGCACGGATGTGGTCAGACATGTGAGCCAGTGTGGGGCTCGATGCGTCGGTGGCCGTCTTGATTCTTTCGCGAGAAGCGGAACTCACGAGCGGGCGAGCACCTTATCAATACACAGCGACCGCTGCAAGCCCATTGTCAGAGCTCGCCAGCAGCTGGAGGCACGGGCGGCAACGTCCGCATCTCAGACGGCAGCACAGTCAGCCCGCATAGTGAGGATGGCCAATCTTCCCAAGGGTACCCTTACATCCTTACCTCCTCGGCTCATCCTTGGCCACTTTCGTTGGCCGCGCCTCGCTCGAGAAGCTTCGACGTGGCCTTCCAAGGCCCTTGCATCCTCATGACGCATCCTTACTATACGGGTTGACTGTATTTTTGAACCGCTGTGAACGGCCATTGAGTCGGCACCAACGCAATCCGGGTTTCGCCCTTCGGAGTTGGCAGACCGTTTCCTGGTATCTTTGCTAGCGCGCTTGGGAGCCCATGGGATTCCGAAGGTTGAACTTGCCCTCCTGCAGTGCCAACCCCCACGTCAACATAGCCCAGGCAGGCATTCGAACAGTTACAGTCGGCCCGGACTAGTAGGTCGACCCTGCCAAATCAAGGCTGCCCTTGTGTCCTGTGTCTCGCGACCCATGCCTCCTGCATTCCTATGGCAATGTGGCCCTCGGAAGGGTTTTTTGTCCTCTCGCGTGTCCTGTCCATTGACGTCCGACTGTATCCACACCTTGACTGAGCTGGGATAGTCGGGAACTCTCTTCTTCCTTCGGCGGCGCGCTCAGGGGGGAAGCTCATGAGGCCTTGAGCATCTTCTGATGTCTATAAGTGCCTCCCTCGAAGCCGCAGAGGGCCTCCGAGAAGGCCGGGCGGCCTCTGCGAAGCCCCGCCGCCTTCCGAGAAGGCCTGCCCCGACGACGACGACGAGGACGACGAGGACGAGGACGACGACGAGGACGACGAGGACGACGACGAGGACGACGACGAGGACGACGACGAGGACGACGACGACGACGACGACGACGACGACGACGACGACGACGACGACGACGACGACGACGACGACGACGACGACGACGGCGGCGGCGGCGGCGGCGGCGGCGGCGGCGGCGGCGGCGGCGGCGGCCCCCTCGCGTCCCCCCGCGGGCGCGCGGCCAGCCGGCGTCGCTGTCGATGCGTCGATGCCGAGACGCCGCGACGGCCCGCCGCCCGCGCCCCGCGCACGCCCCCGGAGCCCCGTGGCGGGTCGGGCCGGGCCTGCGCTGCCGCGCCCATCGCCCGCGCCGGCGCCGGGCCGCAGCCCGCGAGGCCGCGCCCGCCCCCGGGGGCGTGGGAGCATCAGTCAAGAGCCTGTTTGTTCAGTTTTTTTTTAGACTCTGGCAAGTTTGCTTGCATGGACGGGGGGGCGGGGGCCGAGCCTGAAGCAAGCCCGGGGGGGGGCCGCGGGAATCACGCAAGCGGAATCACGCAAGTCGAAGGCACTGCACACGCTAGTATTCGCTTGAAGAGGGCGACGTGGGAGGGGGGGGGGGGGGGGCGAACGCCATGCAGGTTAACTTGCCTGAATCCCAAAAAACAGGCTCCAAGCAGTGGCGAAGCGTCCCGGCTCGCCTATAATAGCCCCACCGAAGAATGTTCTAAGAACCTTTTGTGGTTGCCACGAAGTGTTCTTAGAACATTTCTGGCGGGGTCCGTCCTGTTTTAACACATCGGGCTTCTGTGTTTTAAGAACATTGTGTTTGTTACTAGAACATCTTTGGGTTCTAAGAGAATTTCGTGGTATGACTATAGGGAATGCCGGGACGGTCGGTCCCTGCTCAAATCAGGGGCAACGATAAGGGGGGATAGGCTTGTGGAGGACGATCAATGGAGAGGAAGCATGCTGCCAACTAATTTCCAGATGTCAGAATTATGTGTTACAGCTGCTTTAAACATGTAAAACACATGTTTAAAACATTTCCAGGACATTCTATCCACAAATTAAACACATGTTTAATTCGATGATAGGTCTGGTGGAGTGTCCATTGTCGTGGCATCCACAAGGATAGGCCTCGGGGGGGATGCATCGACCCCCAATCGCCCATCTATCGCCGATAGGGATCCGATGGCCCCAACCTGCGCAGGAGGACGCGGATTCACGATCGAAGGCCTATCGCCGATCCATCGGCGAGGCATCCTGGCGTAAGGGGGGCCGCCTCGGGCGGAGGTCCCAGCCGTGCTGCGAGCCAGCGGGGAGTCGGGGTCACAGCGCGGTTTTGTCGGGGGAGCGTAAGACCCGGGTTTGCCAGGACTCGGGTTCGCCATCGTTTTTTGACGACCGCGCTTCGGATTTTGACGAGGAGGAGTTTCGTGGGATGTCTGCAGCGGGAGGCCTCGTCAAAATGCAGGCTCGGCCTCGTCATTTTTTTGACGACCTCGTCGGGGATTTCCGAGTCCCTTGTACCCAGGTCTTACGTCCCTCTGAGAGCAGAGCAGCTGGGACCTCGACTCCAGGGCCCCAGAACCGTGCGGTGACGAACCTTTGCGGTGAGGCCTCTGGGGATGCAGGGGTCCCCGCGCGGTCTGTCACCGCACGGTTTCGGGACCTCCGAATCACGGGTGGGACCTCCTGAGTTGAAGCTCGCTGAGGGGCAGCGACGGCGATTTGTGTTTCTGGGGCAACGGGGGAGAGGGCAATGCATTTGTAGGGCAATGGCAAGCACGAGCAGCCCAATCGTGGGCAAGAGCAAGCCTGAAATCAGAGCTTCTCGCGAAGGGCGGCGGTAAGGATGGCTGTTGACCGATCAAGCGCGCCCGCCGAGCGTGCGGGGATCTGGTCCTGGAAACAACGCTGCCCCCCCAGCGACCTTCAACTCCTGAGGTCGAGTGGGCGCTCCGTGTGGATCCAGGCCTCGATGCGGCTCGACGTGGAGCCCGATCTGCTCCGCGCCGACCCCGCCGATTCATCGGCGATTCGTCACCGACGCACCGCCGATGCATCGGCGATGCGTCGGCGATGCGTCGGCGATGCGGCGGCGATGCGGCGCCGCGATCCTCCGACCCCATCTACTCGGACACCATCTGTGAAGCCTCCAGAGTGGAGAGATCGGGGAGAAGGATCAGCTGGCCATGGCCGTACTTGCGAGCCTCGCGGGGGTGGCTCATTCTGTGAGTCGCCGAGCGTTCTTCCTTGAGGATCTGCAGGTCGCTGCGCACTTTCAAGACAGCCGAGCGTGAGAGTTGTGGCCAGATTGCGTCCTGAGTACTTACTTGCATTACGGCACAGCACAGCGAAGCACCACGGCACCTCACGGCGCTGCAGTTTGGTCGCCAGACCGCATTTTGGATTCCAGTGTGTTCACGGCAGGGCATGCCACAGCACAGCACTTTGGCTTTGTTTGGCACGGCGCCGCAATTTCACCACGGCCGTGCACGGCACCAGGAGTACGAGTTGGCCTTGTCAGGGGACCACAGGGCACGGGACCGCAGCATGGCACAGCACGTATTCTCTGGGTGCCGATGTTACGGTTTGATATTTTAGAGCACCACGTCTTAGCATGGCCTTGCAC